TTAAAAGAAGAAAGAGTAAGTTGCAAGAATTGGACTGTTTTAGAAAGAAAATCATGATCTTGATGCTGAAATGAGTTGCCAAAAGCTAACTTAGGTGATGGCCTGATGGAGAGGCAGAGAACCGAAAGGTTGCAGGCTTTGGTGACGAGATTAACACCCTTTGCTAGTTCTTGATGCTGGAAAAGGAAGGTTGACAGTAGATTCTTTGGAGAGCCGCGGCTGATGGCAGATCTGGAATTGAAATGGAGAGCTGTTCTTGAGAAAATTAGCAGACGGCTGAAGGCAGCACGGCTGCTTGCTGTAGAGAAGAAAAAGTGGCGGCTGAAGATAGACGGGTAGATTGTCGGCTGTCTGTAGAGGAAAAGAAAGTTGGCTACGGTGGATACTGATGGTTGGCTGGGATGGGAGGTGAAAAATTGTGGGTTTTTGTGGAAGAGAAAGGTGTCTAGCGGTTGAAAGAAGTGGAACTGGGGTGGAGACTGCTGAGTGACTGAGGTTGGAGGTGGATATGTGAGTTTGATCTTAACGAGAGCACCGTTTGTTAAGCTTGTTGATCTACATCAAGATGGAGAAGACACCTTCTGAGTAGGGGAAGAAGAGATTAGAAAATAGCATAAATCTTCTTTCTTGAATTCAATTACATCATTTGGGGTCTATTTATAGAGGTTTACATGAACTGGTTTTGGGTTTAATGAAAGTTCATAATAGTTGGTTTAATACAGGTAAAATAAAAGAACTAAAAATGGGGTGAGATTGATTTAATGGTGAAATAACACGAGTTATTGTTGTATGTCGGTTGTTTTAGTGATCCCAATCTTTTAAATATTTACTTACTTTTTCTTCTATGGTAGACTTTAAGTATTTTATTATCTTGATTCTAATTTTATGAATTGTTTATCATTTCCTGACATTGTTGTTGTACTATATTTGAATCAAAAAGAATAAATTGCTGCTTATAGTATGTGCTAGATCTTTGTGCAAAACTAAGAGGTTAAACTCACTTTCTTTTAACTGCTGTGAATGTTTTAGCATGCAGCATACTTTATAGCAAATTTCTGAAGAAAATAATAAATGAAGAAAAGCGTTTTTATTTTATTTCATTACTCTGAGCGAAATATAAAAAAGGTCTATTGGCAAGGTTTTATCCTACATAAAGTTTTTCGCCTAAGCAAGCAGCTTTGGATTTTATTAGTTTCCTATGTCTCTTTTGCAAACTTCTTTTCTAATGAGGTGTATAGTATTTTAGTATGCATTTGTAGATCTTGACCAGTAGTATTGGAGTTATGAGATCATTAAAGGGAAGGTAAGCATTCTTGGTGCATGAAATTTTGATATATGCCAATAGTGAAGATGGGAAACACTAAAGAATACTTATAATCTATTAGAGCCAATAGTGAAGATCGGAAACACTAAAGAATACTTATAACCTTGAAAAGTTAACATAGATCAAACCTTTCTGATTGTTATGCATGACTTTAATCCGATATGTTTCTGTAGGATTAGTAATAAAGTTAATCCCTATTCTTAATTATAGGTTTAACCTAATTCTACTTGGAGAGCAGATTTAGATTTCACTAGCTTTGTTAGATTTGGTCATTTCTGTCGGCTAACATGGCCATGATGCGGACATCCAACCGTCCATGCCTATCCGAGGAGGAGCTGAAGATCGACGGCCGAGATCCCTTCATTTTATCTTATTTTATTAATTGTAATTTTTATTTAATTTTACAATTTCCCTTTTTTACCCTTTTGTCTTATGTAAGCCCAAGGGGCTAATCTGTCTTTTAATTTCTTTTGAGGCCTATATATAGAGGCTCATTCTCTTGTATTTGGAGGATGGATTATTAATAAAAAAAATTGTGTTTTGCACTTGTGTTCTTTGGGAAGAACGTTAGTGAAATCCCTATGGGAGGGAGTCGGAGTTTCCACCAGCCGCAGGATGGGTTCGGGCTCGTGAGTTGAAGTCCCTTGGAGAAGGGCAACGCATCACCCGTCAGCCTTCGGAAGAGTCCAAGGCTCGCGGTTTTGATTTTCTACCTTTCGTTTAATCTTTGTTTTGATTTCTTCTTTCTTCCCTCTCCCCGTCGTTGTTTTCATTTTCTTCCTCCTCCCTTCTCAACCCCTCGGCCAAACCTCCATACCAAGCTCCACAAAATTCCCCCCTACCAAGCAAGACAAAAGGCGGTAAAAAAAGGGAAAATTGTTTGGTCTAAAAAATCTTATAATAAAACTATCCTCTACAATTTCAAATTTAACTCAATAAGATTTTTCTTAAAATGAAGGTGATTCATCGGCACAGTACTTCGATTCTTTCATCAGTCATAATCCTCGCGTTCGCGGCATATAGGCCATGGACTCGGGAATGGATTGATTCGTTACCATCCCCATTTCTCTGCCACCTTGGTGTGGAAATAGACATCGACTCATCCATCGAAGTTCGACGGGTCTTCATTGAGTGATCATAATATGTAAGCAACCGAGAAGCACAAAATGCATCTTGAATAACCAAATCTGAATGTATAATTGCCTCAAGAATCTGGAAGAATCTCAGTTCATTATGTCTCTCTAAGAATAACTAGAGGGGGAAACAAAGCCACCAAAAGACCCTTATAGAAATCTGAAATTAGCTTCACGGTTCTTTTATTCCAAAAACTGAGAGAAATTCATGGTTTCAGGAATTAGGAGAAAAGTGTGGTTACGGGAAAGAACAATGGACTTCACATTCATATATGCTTGGAATTGGGTTGCGTGTCTTGAGAAATGGGCGTGGTTAAGAGGGCTGGAAAAAAAGGGTTTCAGACTTTTGCGAACCAAAATTCTGTTGTCCAAAAAGTGCTGAGAGGGGAAAAATTTATTTTCCCAGCTTGTCACGTGCGACGTTAAAGAAAAATTGAGTCCATGGGTGTGATTCATCTAAGGGAACGACATTCGGCCAGCCAAGGAGGAAAATGAACGGAATTCTAAAATCAAACTGATTCCGTGATTGTGAATAGCGGACATAATAGGCATAAATAATACTTCACGTAAGGCCAGCGAAAATTATATAGATTTGGGCAATAATGAGGAATTAGGCTTAGGAAATTTTGAAATTATTTCTAAAACAAAGTGGGGTTTTAGAGAAAATACTATATTTACAACAAGCAAGAGGAAAACCAAGGTGGCATTAACGACATGGGAGGGATTTTTAATCGCGGGATACCATTTAAGGCTTTCTAAGTGGGCTTTAGAATTAGGAAAGCAAATAAAACCCAAATCCCAAATTTAAATTTGAAATTCAAATAGAATCATTTTAAAACTTTCCAAAACTGGGAATGGCAATATAGGAGAAAGATTTCAAATCTCAAATTAGTGGAAATTTAAAATTAAAACCCCAAACAATATTAATTACCCAAATAAGTTGAATCTTCTAATCGAATGAATGAAGTCTAATACTTTCTAAAATAGCTTTCTAATTTAGGAAATCATTTGAAATTTCAAAATTCGAATTTATTTATAAAGGAACTGAATAATAATTTCCTTAAAGGCGTGGGCCAGGCGGACTTGATATATTCATGGCGAGCGAAGTGGGCGGAAGGATTGTCCGTCACCTCACACGTCCTTAGAAGCGATGACGTACTGCCCGTGCTGCGGCCAATACAGAGGGTTTTGGAGATTCGGGTCGCAGAAGGTGGCCTCGAATGGCTGAAGGGACTTGAT